TGTCGTGCTGCTTGTCCGTGTGTGCCTTGTGTCTGTAACTGTGCTTGTTGTGCTCGTGCAACGTCGTTTTGCAGTGACGTACTTTCTGCCGTCAGCGCCGCGATTTCTTCATAACTTTCACACAGTTGCTGCAACAGCTCGTTTAGGCGCTCCTGCGTGAGTATCGTGACGTCGAGATGTTCGGCCATTCCGAAGGGCGGCAGCTCGTTTTAGCTCTGGGCGCAGTCGTGGCTGCATGCGTTTACGAGAGAACGCGAGGACAGTGGCTCCAAGGTGCTATGGAGCGTGAGTCCCTTCGAGACTAAAAATAAAACATCAATTTCTTTGGGTGTAGAGATGCGCGGTCCGAAAGGAAATTGGCTCTGGATATCAAGTGTTACAGGTGCAATGGAACGAGATAGTGAGGATTGCAATAGGTGTCAAACGAGTACAAAGTATGAGCAAAGGCATGAGCGAAGACGTGTGAAAACATGCTATGGTTACGCGGTGCGTGCGAGCCAGCTAGTGCTAGGCCGGCATCGAGGTTCGGGCTAGTCCCGACGTAGGCCGACTCGGCCAAGCCAGTGGTGCATGTTTGGCAAAATAGTGTGCGCGAGGTTGGCGAAGCCCCGTTAGCAGTGACGGGCGAACAATGGCAGCAGCTGTACGCGATGTTGAAGAACGCAGTAAGGAATGCCAACAAATTCCTTGCACATAAATATATAAACGACCCACCAATACCGTTTCAAACCGAGCTCCCACTGTACTTGTAACCCAGTCACACTAACATGCCCACGTCGCGGTGTGCAGTAATCAACTAGTCCAGGTTGTCTGAACGATCTCAACCTGACGCTACACGTATTCCTTCTGCTGCTGAAACCATTTCTGCCAGCTGGCATCTTATCGCACATAGCAATTCTATTTGTGTGTGCTGAGCTCCTCCATCCCCCCATCTATTTTCTGCTCTGTCCGTCTCAGTCGACCCGCCTGCGCCGCGCATCATGGCCAACCCGCTCCTCACGCCGTTCACTCTCCCCGATGGCACGGAGCTCTCAATGCGCATGGTCTACGCGCCGCTGACGCGCGACCGCGCCCTCGGGACCATCCCGCAGCCGAACGCCTCGACTTACTACTCGCATCGCGCGCACAAGGGCGGGCTCATGCTCACCGAAGGCATGTGCATCTCGCCCAAGGCGCACGGGTACCCCGACACCCCGGGGATCTACACGGAGGCGCAGATCGCGGCGTGGAAGCCGGTGATAAAGGCGGTGCACGACAAGGGCGCGCGCTTCTACTGCCAGCTGTGGCACGTCGGCCGCGTGTCGCACCAAGGTGAATCCCGCTCGTGCTAAGGTGTCCACGACAGCACCAAAGCGGTTTTTTATTCCTGCTCACACCTCACCGCAACAATTTCAGACACCTCACTCATACCTCCCCTCTCAACAACCCACCGCCACTCTTTCTCCCCGCCCCATCCTCCCCCCCCACCCCCCCCCCCCCCCCCTCCTCTCGCCCATTCCTGTGATTTCGCGTCCCCTCGCCTCTCCACCTCGCCAGGACGGCTCCAACAAGTGCAAGGACGAGTTTGGAGGGTCCCTGGAGAACAGGCTTCGCTTCCCCCTGCAGGTGGGTCCAGCTGCTGTGACTTGAGGGAGGATTGTCGGCCAATTGTGGTGTGTGGAATCATCACTCATGGGGTTGAGTGCATGGGTCGCTGGTAATAGACTGTCAGTGCCCCCTACCTTTTTGTTATCTTGAGACGGTTGGGCTGTAGCAAGACGTTGAAAAAAACCCTCTTCCCCCCCACCTCCTCCCCCCATCTCCTTCCCCTTTCTTCCTCCCATCTCCCCCACATCCCCCCCCTCCCCCACATCCCCCCCCTCCGCCCCCCCAATCCCTTCCCCCCACATGCAGGTGATCAAGGCAGTGGCGGACGTGGTGGGCGCCAGCATCCCCCCCTTCTTTCTCCCTCCATTTCCCATCCCCCTCCTCCCTCCATCCCCCCCCCCCTCTCCCCTCCCCCCTCCTCCCTCCATCCCCCCCCCCCCTCTCCCCTCCCCCCTCCCCCAGGCGATCAAGGCAGTGGGCGCTAGAAAGGTGGCAAATGAGCGTCCTTTCCACCCCACCACGCCTCCCCATGCCCCCCCCGATTCCATTTCCAGATGATCAAGGCAGTGGCGGACGAGGTGGGCGCCAGCAAGGTGGCTCAAAACTCATCCCCCTTCCCCCCTTGCCCGCCTGCCACCACCCCCGTTCCCCTTCCCTCCCCTCCCCCAGGTGTTCAAGGCAGTGGCGGACGAGGTGGGCGTGCGGCTGTCGCTGTACAGCACCTTCCTGGATGAGACCGACTCCGACCCCGTCGCCACCTACGTGGGGCTCGTGGAGCGGCTGAACGGCCTGGGGCTGGCCTACGTGCACTTCATTGAGGCGCGCGTGCGCGGGAACGACGACATGGAAGTTGAGAAGGAGGTGAGCGGTGCGCGTGTGTGAAACAGTTGAGTTGGTAGTGACAGGCACTGGGATGGTTGAGGCCGTCAACAGCTTGGGCCTGGCATGTGTGCATTTTAATTGAGGCACGCGTGTGCGGCAACGATGACACGGCGACTGTGAAGGAGGTGCGCGATGGGTAGGTGGTGGGTGTGAGGGTTGTCTGGCTCTCTGGCTCTCTTGCTCTCTGGCCGTAAGGCTGTTTGGCTTGGCGTATGTGCGATTCATCAAGGCGCACGTGCGTGGCAACGATGACATGGAAGTTGAGAAGGAGGTGATCGGTGTGTAGGCGAGCGGTGGGTGTGTGAGGGCTGTCTGGCTGTGAGGCTTGGCGTTCAGGCTGTGAGGAGGGCCGCGAGCAAGGGAATGACGACCTGGATGTTGATAAGGAGGTGAGAGGCGAGGAGGAGCTCCCTTGTTGTGAAGGGAGTGAGGTTCGAGGCTGTGAAGGAGACGGGGTTGGGCTGTGAAGGAGGTGGGGTTGGGGTGGGATACGTAAGGCATGGTGGTGGTTGGTGTGGGTGGGAACATAACACAAATCACTCTATGCTTGCTTACTTCCACGCCTTGTCATTTGAAATGGGGCTTACGAAATGCTCGAGGGGTCTTAATGTTTCTTGATACCCGTTGACGTGTGGCCACCTACACACTTCACTCTGTGCCTCTCACTATATCTGCAGACTCTGGAGCCATTCCGCAAGGCATTCAAGGGGCCATTCATTGCTGCTGGCGGCTTCAAGGTATGTTGGGTCCAGTCTGTTGTGACACAAGTGCTGCATTGGCGTGTTGACTCCTCTGTTGTGGCAAGACATGTTGCATGTAGGGCAATGCAAGCACCAGAGCTTGTTGTGCTGTTGCTGATGTGCATAAGGTGAATGTCATGGTGTGATTGTAAAGCAATGGATCCTGTAGTTTCTTACGGTGTTACAAGACGTACCTTTTGTGTGCTGCATTCTATCCATAGTCTGTGCTTCCCTTCTACCATGAAACCCCTGTAATCACGCATGCACACAACCCCACCCTCTTCCGTCCCTATCTCCACCCCCTCCATCCGCCACTGCGCTCTCCTCTCCTGTCCCCTTCCAATTCCCAACTGTTATCCAAATCTCCAGCGCGAGAGCGGCATGGCAGCGATTGAGAGCGGGGCAGCGGATCTGATCACGTACGGCCGGCTCTTCCTCGCCAACCCCGACCTGCCGAGGCGCTTTGAGCTCAACGCGCCGCTCAACGCGTACGACCGCATCACCTTCTTCATCCCCGACCAGGTCAAGGGGTACATCGACTACCCTTTCCTGGAGGAGCCTAAAAAGGCTGAATAGATGGGGACCTGTGTCTGACAAGAAGCATATTGGTTTCGCAAGTGCCGTCACAGAACCTTCTTTATTGGAGATCAGGTCAAGGGTTACTATACTAATATCTGCTCCCGGATGAGGAGCCGGATAAGGCTTATCGTAAAGGGATCTGCTACTATGTCAACAAGAACGCAAATGTTATTATGACACGAATCTTTAGGGTAGGTCATTTGCAGTAAGATCATTAAACATCTTAGAGAACCAATTAGAACAAATTTGGTGTACGAGACACGCTTTTGTGCTTACATCAACTGCTTAAAGCCCGCGTCTCATATATTTCCGCCCCCCCAACCAAGTGTAATATGGTTGAAATCGGGTAACCAGTTTTAGGTCGCCCAACGACCACTGTTGGTGGGCACAAGGTTGGGGTCAGGTTGGGAAAGAGACTCGAGAGGAAAGGCTTGTACGTGCCAGCCCCAGCAATTGAACGTGCACCACCCCAAGGTGTGGAAATGCACCTGACGACGCAAAATGCTAATCGCATGATTCGATCGTGCGACACAACCACCCTGTGCGATTTTCCAGCACCAGGGGGAACAAACATATTCCACCAGCTCGAGGAAATTAGAGACGCAGTTTCGAACAGCAAACAAGCGGAGGAACTCACGCAGCCTAACAAGCATATTACACTAGATATAGACAGCAGAAAACGTCCACGCGACCCTATAATATGGCGCAACAATGCCGCCACCAACTGGACCGTCGTATCACCAACATTTAGAGCGAGAACCAGCATTGAAGCTCATGCGCGGCGAGTGCAAACGGACCATATCCCTAACGTGCGGACCGTCCACCATAAAGCTTTACGGTTAGGAACTCGACGAGGCGACGCGAGGCATTTTCCTTCGCCACCACCTACGAGTGTGTGCTACTCGTCAGGACGGTGAGCACGAGCTGCTAATTAGCTCTGCAAAAACGAAGATATCGACCGCGTCAGTCAAATGCCACGGCATAATCAAAGCTCTCGACCTTTTAGGGTTGCTTCTGGTACAGGGCAAATCACTGGACGTCTTGAGAAGAGCAGCCAAAGCGCGAATAGCCTCATTGCTGGCTCATGCGATTGTTTAGCACGCAGCCCCAATAAAACGCGGCGTCGTTCCGCAGCTCGCATTGGGGGCGAGGTTGTAATCTTGCACCAATGAATTTCGCGCCCCGCCTCAAAGCGTGAAGTGCGCATCAGCCATGCCACCGCCGACTGGGGCAAAGCAGGCGGGAGGCGCGCCTCTGCCGGACTCCCTCGCTACCCCCCTGCTCACCCTATCACGACGGCTCCTCCTCTCCCCCCGCACTTCCTGTGCATGCAACTCCCAGGGCATGTCTGGTGGCGCACTCAGCAGGCGGGAGGCGCGCGTCTGCCTGACTGCTGCGCTCCCCCCCTTCTCTTCTGTTCACCCCAATCCCGCTTCCCCCCATCTTCCCCCATCCCCCTTCCCTTCCCGCATCCTCCTTCCCTTTCCCCATCCTCCTTCCTTTACCCCATCCCCCTTCCCTTCCCGCATTCCCCTTTCCCTTTCCCCACCCCCCTTCCCTTCCCCCATCCCCCTTCTCTTCCCCCATCCCCCTTCCCTTCCCCCATCCCCCTTCCCTTCTCGCATCCCCTTTCCCTATCCCCGTCCGCCTTCCCTTTCCCCATCCCCTTTTCCCTTCCCCACACCCTCCTTTCCCTTCCTGCGTCCCCCATTCCCCCTATCCCTCATCCCTTCCACCTTTTTGCCCCGCTTTCACACACTATGCCGCCAATCAATCACTTTCCCCCTTCCTCCCTGCCTTCTTTCTTTCCCCATGCCATGCCTCCCCTCGGGTTCCTCCCATGGCTCCCCTCGGTTTCCTTTCGTCCCTCACCTCGCTTTCCTCCCATGCCTCCCCTCGCTTTCCTCCCATGCCTCGCCTCACCTCTGTTTCTCCACTTGTCTCCCCTTGGCTTCCCCCCTTTCCCCCCACCTGTTGATGTGCTTGTTTCAGCATGGCGCCACAAAGAACCAGTTCATCCTCCAGTTCTCTTTTTACTTTGCCTAGATTCAAAACTCAGTTGTTATCAAAGTAGGCTTGCCAAACTCTCCTAGTCTCTTGTCTTGCAATAGCATATTACAATTGATACTCAGATTGCTTCAATGCATCCATATTTGAAGTAGCAATTGTGCACAGCACTGACATAAAGAACTTATTGAATGTACACACTTGTGTAATATCTTGAAGATACGGGGTACAGCTTTCCTCTAGCACCGGTTTTGCCATCATGCATCTGGCCGTGCATCTGCTGCTTGCCTGTCCCTTCCGTTTCGCCAGGCTCGCATGGGACTAGCTTAGTCTTGCTTGTAACTGGAACAAAGGTAGGGGTGACGGGAGGAAGGAAGGCTCCAGGGATTCAAAGAAGGGCAGGTACCAAGGGGGAACGGAGAGAACAAAAGAGGATAGAGGGTAGGTGAGGGGAGAGAGGGAAGGGGGGGCGGGAGTAGAAGAAGACATGCTGAGGAAGCAGAGCGGAGATAATTTGAGGTAAGATGAGGAGATGGGGAGGTGGGATGAGGAGATGGGGAGGTGGGATGAGAAGGAAAGAAGAAGGGCGAGAAGGAAAGAAGAAGGGCGAGAAGGAAAGAAGAAGGGCGAGAAGGAAAGGGCTCTCCACACTCATGGCCGCCACCACAGCACTCAACCTCCCCACCTCCCTCCCACTCCCCCTCCCGTCTCTTACCATAGCCCACACCCACACCCTCCTCACCTTCCCCTGCTTACATGCACCTCAGCTTCGGGGAGGGGGGAGCAATCACAGCACAAGGAACATGGAGAAGGTTCTTGGAAGGGGAGGAGGAGACGGGGGAGGGGAGACAGGGAGGGAGGAGAGAGGGAAGGGGAGAGAGGGAAGGGGAGAGAGGGAAGGGGAGGGAAAAAACAGGTGTCAGGTGTCCCCGTAAAAAGGATGTGTGTTGTGTCTCGAGGCACAGATGGCAGTTGGGGGAACGGGAGGTGTGAGCACCGGGATGTGACAGCTGCGGGACGTGTGGCATAATGACATGCGAATTTCTATGCACATGCACTCACGCAGATGAATACATACAGGTGCACACCCGCACGCACGCACGCACGCGCAAGCACGCACGCACGCACGCATGCACACACGCAAGCGCATGCACGCACGCACGAATTCACGCGTACGCGCACGCGCGCACACACGCGTACGCGCACGCACACGCGCACACGCATGCACGCACGCACGCACGCATGCGCGCGCACGCGCACGTACACACGCCCGCATGCACGCACGCACGCCCGCACACCCGCACGCACGGGTGCGCACGCGCACGAACGCACGCACGCACGTGCACACACCCCACACACATGCCACTCGCACACAGACCCAGGACGACAACTCCTTTCACGTAATCGCGCTTAGCGTAAATTGACATTGGGCGATTCCTTACTCGCCAAGTAGTGCCTTATCCGCAACCAAACTTGTTCGCAAGTCACCTGCTATCTGGTCCGAAATGCGAGCTAGTAGACAGCTAATCCCTGTTTCTGTGCTCGGGTCAGCATCTTGCTCGCGGAGGCACATACCTAAGAACTACTAAGCGGAAGTAGTAAGAATGACGGCTGAGAGTTATGCTCTGCTTTTCCTGGTGAAGGTGGGCGAATTGTGTCTTGTCGTTTCAATTGGTCGCATGTTAGTGCGATTCTGCCGGAGGTGTTTTCTAGGTGTGGTAGATGTCCACGCCTGAGGGGCTCGTTTGGATTTTGCCCAGAACGAACTGAGGTTTCGTCTGTGTTTTTCAAACTGCTCGTCACAAATCTCGCCTATCGTTACCCAATCACAGACGCTTTAGCCCAACCAACTGTAATACACTAGAAAATATGAGACGCGGGTTTTAAAGCTTTTGAATACATTTGAAAAAGGGAGGTTCAAAAGTTTTGAAATTTGAAAGATTGGTAACCCAGCAACAGCTAGTTTCACTCGCTTCATAAGGGAGGTGATCTCCCCGACACCCAGGGCTCACAGGTGATTCAAAACTTTTGGAATAACAAAAGTAGACGAAATCCAGTCCATGTGAGGTCTACGCCACTACGCTCAACAGGCAGCATAAACCGTAGCTAAGCACATCGCGACTCAACAGCCAGCGCAAACCACTCCCGTTTCAGACACAAACTTAGACGCGTGGGGCAGTTTAGTGTAATTACACGTCCGAGCCAACGTCAGTTCCGCCCTCTGACACGGCGAGCCCGCCGGACCTCCTCTCACAGCCTCGCCTCGTCGTCCGTCGCGTCGCCTCACCACGCGGCCTCCTCACGCCACCATGAACGCGCACGCTGCGTCTCAAACTGCCGAACACAGTCCTCACAGTCGCCGCCCGATCGCGCGGCCTCGCTACCGCGTTTCCGCAGTAGCGGCGGCAGCCGCAATTGAGGTCGCGAGGGTAATCAGAAACGACTGCTCCCCGTTTCCCCTTCGCGCCTCCCCGTTTCCCCTTCCCGCCTCCCCAATTCCCCTTCCCGGCGCCGCCCCATTTCCTCTTCCCGCTCCCCATTACCCCTTCGCGCCTCCCCATTTCCCCTTCCCGCTCCCCATTACCCCTTCCCGCCTCCCCAATTCCCCTTCCCGCCACCCCATTTCCTCTTCCCGCTCCCCATTACCCCTTCCCGCCTCCCCGTTTCCCCTTCCCGCCTCCCCGTTATCCCTTCCCGCCTCCCCGTTTTCCCTTCCCGCTCCCCATTACCCCTTCGCGCCTCCCCGTTTCCCCTTCCCGCCTCTCCAATTCCCGTTCCCGCCACCCCATTTCCTCTTCCCGCTCCCCATTACCCCTTCCCGCCTCCCCGTTTCCCCTACCCGCCTCCCCGTTACCCCTTCCCGCCTCCCCGTTTTCCCTTCCCGCTCCCCATTACCCCTTCGCGCCTCCCCGTTTTCCCTTCCCGCCTCCCCAATTCCCCTTCCCGCCACCCCATTTCCTCTTCCCGCTCCCCATTACCCCTTCCCGCCTCCCCATTACCCCTTCGCGCCTCCCCGTTTCCCCTTCCCGCCTCCCCAATTCCCCTTCCCGCCACCCCATTTCCTCTTCCCGCTCCCCATTACCCCTTCCCGCTCCCCATTACCCCTTCCCGCCTCCCCGTTTCCCCTTCCCGCTCCCCATTACCCCTTCGCGCCTCCCCGTTTCCCCTTCCCGCCTCCCCAATTCCCCTTCCCGCCACCCCATTTCCTCTTCCCGCTCCCCATTACCCCTTCTCGCCTCCCCATTACCCCTTCCCGCCTCCCCGTTTCCCTTTCCCGCCTACCGATCCTCTCTTCCTACCAGCCCATCTCCCTCACATTATCTGCACTCTCCTCTCTCCTACCCTCTTATCACCTTCCGTGCTTTTTGTACCATGTCCTGAACCCCGCCATCCAGTGGCGTGTCCTTGAAGCTATCGCCACTCCGTTGCTGCAAGTGCTGCTGAGGCCGAGTGCTCGAAGTTTGTGCGAGCAAAGGCCAGCACTGGGAGGGACCTTGCCTCTTAGCTCCTCGCTTCCTGCACTTCGTTATCTGCGCGTGCTCCTCCCACCTCCCCGGGCGGGCTCTTCTAGCCGACCCGCCACCCTATCTCTCCCCTTCCCTCTCCCTGCCTATGCACCTCCTATCCCTGCCTATGCACCTCCTATCCCTGCCTATGCATCTCCTTTCCCTACCTATGCATCTCCTTTCCCTACCTATGCATCTCTCTTCCTTGCCTTCACATCACCCCTCCATGCCCTCGCAACCATCTCTCCCGCCTCCCCTACCTGCCTTCAAAACCCTTCTTTCACCTGCCATAACTTTTCATCCACTCCCATCCCCTTCAAGCCCCTCCCATCCCATCCCCTTCCAGTCCCTCCCATCCCATTTCAAACCCTTCCATTCCCCTTCCAGTCCCTCCCATCCCATTTCAAACCCTTCCATTCCCCTTCCAGTCCCTCCCATCCCATTTCAAACCCTTCCATTCCCCTTCCAGTCCCTCCCATCCCATTTCAAACCCTTCCATTCCCCTTCCAGTCCCTCCCATCCCATTTCAAACCCTTTCATTCCCCTTCCAGCCCCTCCCATCCCATCCCCTTACAGCCCCTCCCATCCCCTTCCAGCCCCTCCCATCCTTTGCAGGTGACGAGGATAGGGTTGAAAATGATGAGGATGAATGTGACATTGAGGGGTGCGAAAGAGAACGGGAATTGCCCATCGAGATAGATTTTGCAATGAGGGCGTGAGATGCATGTGCATACGATTAGCCACGTGCATGGTACTGAAGAAAATCGGTCTCATAATATTTCTCTTTTATGTATTTAGTGACATGGTTGCGAGGAATCGTTACATCAAACTTGATAAAGTCCAGATAGCTAAATGGCCATAAAAGTTCCTAATATCGTACGGCAAAGCGAGCTTGACAACACACAGTTGGAAGTGTATGCATGCTTGTTGAATCACAATTAGAAGCCATCAACTAAGCAAGGAGATGCCGCACATGCTGCCTGCTGCTGTTGCATGCCTGGCATTGGTGTGCAGCAGATGGGAGCGAGACAGTGTGGGCCGCTTGGTAGACCTGTTAGTGAGAGGAGTGGGGGGAAAATGAGACGGAGGGAGGGGGCGAGGAAGGGGAAAAAGTGGGCACATATGACAGAGCTCAATCTAAGCCTGGAGAATTGCAAGTGGGGAAAGGAAAGAAAGTAATGAGGGGGAGAAAGAGCAATCCAGTGCACACAAGATACACATTACCTGACCGGCATGCAACCCTAAGAGATTTCCTACCATGCATGCCTCACCATGCCACCCCAGGAACACACAGAGTGCCATTAGTGATTCAAGTGGCATGAAAGACTGTTTGTGTGTGAGCCCGAAGGCAAGCGATGTAATGCGCACAGTACCTGCGGGGTTTGAAACGGGGGTCCAAAGAAGGGCATGAGTATAGCCCTCTGCACCATCTGCCGCTGCAGCCTCCTCACCTCCTCCTCCTCCCTCTCCCTCCGCCTCTCTTCCTCATCCCTCCTCGCCTGCTCCTCCTGCTGCTGCTTCAGTGCCACCTGATCACGTCATTGCAAAGAGGAGAGGGCATGGGAAACCGAGGTGAGAGGGAGCAGTTGCAATGCACATTGAACTTGGATGCACATCAATCAGCAGGCACACGCACACCTAGCATACGCTGATCCGCCCGCGCCACACCCGCCCTCACCTGCATGTCGTGAACATGCACAGCATCCGGACACGTGAACTGAGAGGTAGAAAGTGGGGGACATGTGGGGGAGAAGGGGGGAAAATGAGAGGGTGCAGGGGGGGAAATGATGGTGAGCAAAGGGAAAATGAGAGGGAGCAAGGGTGGAAGTGAGAGGCGGCAAGGGTGGAAATGAGAGGGAGCAAATGTGGAAGTGAGAAGGAGCAGGGGGCAAAATGAAGGGGAGCAGTGGGGGAAATGAGAGAGGGAGAAGGGGGGGAAATGAGGGCGAGAACGGGGGTAGATGGGAGGGAGAAGGGGGGGGGGGGGGCTGAGAGGGAGCAAGGGGGGAAATAAGATGGAGCAAGGGCAGAAATGAGAGGGAGAAAGGGGGGAAGTGAGGGGGAGAAGAGGGGGGGGATGAGAGGGAGCAAGGGGGGAAATGAGGGGGAGAAGGGGGGGGATGAGAGGGAAAAAATGGGGATTTGAGAGCGAGAAGGGGGGGAAATGAGGGGGAGAAGGGGAGGGGGGTAATGAGAGGGAGAGGGGGGGGAAAGGAGAGGGAGAAGGGGGGGACATTTGGGGGAGAAAGGGGGGAAATGAGAGGGAGAAGGGCGGGAAATGAGGGGGAGAAGGGGAGGAAATGAGAGGGAGAAGGGAGGGAAATGAGAGGGAGAAGGGGGGGACATGTGGGGGAGAAGAGGGAGAAATGAGAGGGAGCAGGGCGGAAAATGAGGGGGAGAAGAAGGGAAGGGATGAGAGGGAGAAAAGGGGGATTTGAGAGTGAGAAGGGGGTGATTTGAGAGGGGGAAGGGAGGGAAACTAGAGGGAGAAGGGGGGAAAATGAGCGGGAGAAGGGGGGAAAATGAGGGGGAGAAGTGCGAGGGAGAAGTGGGGGAAATGAGAGGGAGAAGGGGGGGAATGAGAGGGAGAAGGGGGGAAAATGAGCGGGAGAAGGGGGGGATATGAGCGGGAGCAAGGGGGGAAATGAGAGGGAGAAAGGGGGGAAATGAGATGGAGCACGGGGGGAAAAGAGAGGGAGCAAGGAGGAAAACGGGGGGGAGCAGGGAGGGAAATGGCGAAATGGCTTGTGAGACGAGCAGCGCGAGAGGCGGGCAGAAGGTTCGGCACGCGGCGGGTGAGGTGAGAAGCGGGTGTCGCGAGCAGCGGGCTAGGCGAGCCCGCCGAAGGCAACTCGTCGAGGCAGGTAGGTAGGGATTCGACTATTGCACCGCGGCGAGCGAGCAGAATGCAACTCGTCGAGGCGCTCTTGGCAAGGAATCGTCGGGCTCGCCGTATACCGCACGGCGCGCTCGACGAATGCCACGCGACGGCCCGTCCGAATGCCGCACGGCGCTGCAGCTAAAGGGAGTTTGGCGGGCTCAATTGATTGACCTAGTCGTGGCTAGCACCTATAAAGTGTGTCATTACTCAACCTCAACTATTCGAGTAGTCGCACTGTTCCGCTAGCCACCTCGTCGCCTTCCATGTAGTTATACCTAGGCCTTTCTGAGAAATTAGTCGCATATTCTCCAGAATGTCAGTTTCAATTCGTAGTTGGGTGACGAGAGCATTTCTGGTGTTCTGACAACGCAACCCCCAGAGCACATTGGCTTCAAAATTTCGCCAAGACTCTCGCCAAGCTCACTTGTTTTCGTTGCAGCGAAATCGGTTTTCACACTGTACAGACATGAACAGTACTTTCAAATGTATACAAAAGCTTTAAGGAGCACGAGCAGCGCATCAATGACAGGCCGCAAAACTGCCAGCACCTGCAAAAAAGGAGAAAAAAAAACGGCCCGTTAGTGAAGCTGACAGGGCATTACCACAACAGCAGCTCTGGTTCAGACAGCGGCTGTCACAATGCATTGGCATGGGCGCAGCAAGAAGAGGACATGGGACTGAACGCCAGCCAGTGTCCATTCGGCAGTTACAGGAGTTTCGGCGTCTCGAACTTCCTGTCGTGGCATAATTGCTGGAAGAAAAGCCAGAAAAGCGTTCAAGGCCCGCTTGTAACATCCACACCCCACAGCATACCTTTGCCATATGGTTGCACGGGGTCGGAGCTGGTGAGCGAGCTCATGGTGGCGGGGAACACGGGGTCGGTCACAACAATCGCGGTCATGTCAGACGACGACGTGGTGTCGCCCAACACTTGAGTGGATCCACTCAAGCTCGAGCTGCTCATTCCAAACGCGGCTGCCACATCCGCCACTGCTTTCGGCCCCCCAGCGTCACTCCCCGCTACGAGTCCATTCTTGGCGGAAGTAGTGGGGTCGACGGTGCCGCGGTCGGTCCCAGTGAAGACGTGAACCAAGCCCGCGGCAGTCAAGGAGCCAGTGACGTTGGCGTAGAGATAAATTGGCTGGTTAAGAGCCGTGCTAAAGCTGAACCGACCGTTCTTGTACTGCTTGGAAGGGAATAGGATACACGATAGACAAAGGGACGGTCTGCGAGGTGTCGTGAGGAGGAAAGAAAGGAGTGCAAAATCCAGCCTTCATCATGTTCTAACATCTCCTATTGAGAACGATAGAAGCAACTTGCTTAAAAGGAAGAAGTAGGGGCATCCCACTATCTCAATGTTCTTTCCACAAGTGAAGAGACACTCACGTTGCCAGTTTGCATGTCAGTGGGTTGAATGCATTGGCTGATCGACATGAACTTGGCGAGGCGCGACAGCGCGTTCTTGGCATTGGCGGACATGCCGTTGAGGGCCGACACGGATCCCGACGAGGACACCACCGTGCTGAGCGCCTCGAGAACCGGGTCCGACGAGGTTGTCGCAGCCGGGTTGAGTGTCTTGTAGCCCGCGAGCGCGTTAGTCCAGCCGTCGTTAATGGGCAGAAGAAGGGAACCGCCTGAAATGTCGGTGGCATTGTCGTATCCGGCGGCGAATTCCACTATTCTCGCGGAAAAGTCGACGGGCGTGGGGGCCGTGTTGGTCGTGTTGCGGATCTGCGACAGAACGTAGGAGATGCATAGTGACGCGGAGAAAAGCACGGCGAAGGAGAGGGTGCGCGTCGACGTTGGGTACCGGGCCATTATTTATGCAAAGGACTGTGTACTGACGGATGGGGGGCAAGGGAAGTGGAGGTTGCAGGGGGAGGATAGGGATGTGGATTGGAATGTATTTGTATCAAGTGGCACCTGCGCGGGAGCCAACGTGAAGCGCACGGGAGGCAGCGACATAGCAGCCGCGTGCAAGGGTGAACGTGGGCAGCGCAGGGGAGGACGTGGGCAGGACGTGGGGGACTCACGTGAGAAGGACGAAACTGAGGTTTCGTGCCTTGACTGACTTTGGGGGACTTTCGCGTGGGACAGGTGGCGGAAGTCCAGAATTGAAGAAATAGGAATGTTACACGTGTGCAATTGCAGTGAGTTCTACAAATTGTAAATAGGAAGGAGGAATGCGGCTCGATGTCAGGGCTGGCCACCCGAATCGGCATTCCGAGCCGCATGTCCAGAAATCTAAAGTACAGTAGCATAAAAAAACATTCGTAGGATAGAGAGAGTAGCTTTGCTGTTTCTCCTTCTCTTTGTTGTTCCTTGCTTCCAAGGAAAATCCTTTGGTGAAATTCTCAGCCAGAAACACTAGAACAAGCCCAAGAGCCGTTGAGCTTGTTCCACTTGGTATCCGAGGCCGTTTTTTCCTCGTAAGTTGCTGCCGGGTTATTTTTGCACCATGGCCGATTCAGAGCGTGATGCCGCGGTTCGAGAGCTTGTAGCCAAGGAGGTGCAGGCTGCCCTGCAGAACGCAGTTGCCCAGCAAAGCGTAGCTACAGCTCCGGGAAGTGTAGTGGGATCTCTTTCCCATGTGAGAGCATCGATGCCGGACACGTTTGTTCCAGGGAAAGGACAACCGGTGGTTTGACGATGGCTCTTCCTTGTGGACGAATATCTACGCTTGAGCCATGTGGCTGGTGAAGAGCAGGCACCGTTCGCCGGAACCCTACTCAGGGGCTCTGCGGTTGCATGGTGGCAATCGGTGCGACCTGCTATCCAAACCTGGCAGCAATTCAAGGAAGCTCTCGTTGCGTCATACGAACCTATCAACGCGATGGCAAGGGCGCGTGACTGACTTGCAAATCCATCGCACCTTTCCCAAGGGTTTCTCGCCTATTTCAGGCAGTCAGGTTGGAATTAGCGTGACAAAAGGGTTCTCGAAGTTGGCGCGAAATGCTGGGTGGCGATTGCAGGCAATGTCAACCAGCACGAAATCACAAATTGTGTTCGCGCATGCTGTAGTTTCGCCGACCACCAGCAAACTGCTGGAAATCGCGAAGTGGTTGGACACGTCAGCACCCAAATGATCGCGTTGTTACTTTTGAATGGAACTGTAACATAGAAATACATTTTTTAGGTTGTGTCGCAATTGTTTAGGAAAATGTTTAATGCAGTGTGTTTGTAGTAACTATTGAAGACTAAATTAGTAGAACGTTATATCGATCGACAGCTCGTTGTAGTCACTAACATCAAATCAAAATAGTCACAAATCGGAGAGGACGTACATTTCAGCAGAATTATGTTTGCACAGTACAAGATTAATTTTCCATTTTAACGAGAAATAACACCCGAAAAAATAATATTAGATCAGACTTATAATCACCTACGCCAATTCAGCACACACACAGCACCAAAATCATAATAATTGGCTATGAGAGGAATATTGGCCTTAACTATCCAGCGCTCAATTTGAGCCTTCCGAATGTCCATCTCTCGCCGGTTGGATGACTTGTCTGGACCAAGGCTGGCCATGCCAGTCAGCATGCTGTTCTCAGCCTGTATCACAAACATTAGAGTTAGTTAACCGTGAATTAGCACATAATAAAACACTAGAGCAGAATTTAACGTCAACTTACCGCAACAAGCAGGTAACAGACTTGATCAACGGTGAGTGCAATGTCTTCAACAGGTTCTTTGTACCACGAACCGGCGGCAGTCACAAAGGCTTTACTAGATAGTGGGTTTTCCCCCACTGCGTGCCATGGAAGCCCATAAACATCTGCAAAAACAAAATGGTGATGAGATTTCTTCCTGCTAAATCAAAACGATCGTGGACAGCCTTACCGCAAGCATTGTCGGTAGCGTAGTCACTACGTGCTTTGTCCGTGTTGGCCACTATATTCCCTGCAGGGTCTTTCAGGAGTGAGAATGCAACTCTGCGGAAAGTTGTATTGTACTTCCCTCTCCTGCCATTGCAGTCATGCGTGAGTTTCTCGCCCCATTTTTTGTTTTTGTAGTCCGAGTTGAAGCGTGCAGCTTCATCCTCCTGCACAGCCAACACGTCAGCCAACACAAGTTTGAAATCGTCCTTCGTAGGATATATTCTCCTGTTCTCCAGCTTCGCCCCGTTCAACAGCGTATCGAGAACTTCGCCCATTTTTTCCTGCATTTCAAAAATATAGGACGGAATTAGAAGAAGCACTAGTAACATGTATAACATTTGAAAGACGTTGTGCGAGAAAGTTCTTACCTGGACTTGAACGTCAGAGCCCCAGCTTGGTAGGTTGATGTTTTTTGCCAGCTCCCTAACGATTTGAAGAAGAAGCCGCTGCGTTTCTTCGGTTGCTAGAAGCCGTTTGTTGATGGAATCCAACGTGTCCGAGATGTTCCGCAGAGAAACTCGGACGTTAGATTCTAACGAACTGAAGGTGTTCGCTTCCGGATGATGCACGTTTCGGTCCGAGGAAATCGGTGTCCCTGTCCCTGTCCGTGGAAACGCAACAAAATTAGGAACCACTAGCAAAACAACGTAACAGGAAACCATAAGCGGCAGAACAAGCATTCTGAAATTAAAACGAACCATTTCTGGCGACGACAGCATTGACGCCGGACCGCGACGCAGCTTGGTTGTCGTTGGACACTTCTTCTTGCGAGCCGACAACGTTCTCCGCAATGAGGTTCGCTGCATCACCCTCAACCATGGGAGTGACACGGTTAAGCGCATCATCATCAGCTGCATCAGCGGAAGAGACACTGGCCACTACAGCGTCAAGATTATCCTTTGCAGGTGGCGTGGTGACCAAGGAGGATTTAGTGGGTGGTGTGGGAGTTTTATGGAGGTTGCTGGTCAATCCCCAACGAGCCCGACTGCGAGGGTATTCAGTTTCATAGCCGTCCAGCCTAGAGTTAGGTTTACTGGTTCTCTTCTGTCTTGCTTCAACCAGCTCAGGAGGAAGCATCGCCATGAGAGGGTGTGTGGGTTGGGTGATGGATGGGAGGGTGGATGGTCAGAATAGGTTGTTTTGCGCTCGGCAAGTTTCCCCTTTAAACTTACCCTGATTTGCCACTTGAACAAAATACTTGGCCCTCTGGCGTTCCCGTTTAAAAGTACCGTTGCTCTCATGCGCGAAAATTTTCACTTCAATCGCGGTATCGCCAGTTGATGTCAGGAAATAAAAATTCGGCGGGCAGCGCTGGAGACCCACAGGTAAACAGTAAGCGTGGGTTCTGAGAAAACACGAAATACCGTTGAGATAGGGATCCACGCGGAATTTCCGCTTCTGTCAGAATCGAACGGATCGTAGGCACAGTGATTCGTGGCGGGGAAATGTACACCCTCTTTCTCGCCATTTGTGAATTCGGTTATAATGAAGTCAAGATGGGAAAAGCATGGTTCACGGTGGTTCATTTTTGTTTTAGTATGATTCAATTAGGCAAATCGAAGATAACAAGGTTTTGCACCTGTTCGGCACAGTTTAGTGTAGCGAGAAACAGGGTGTACTTAACAGTGAAACACTGTTAGAGCCCACAGAGACACACAACAGTCGTTAGCGGGCATTGACGATTTCGTAAACATTGCCAGCCAGCGTAACTTTGGCACCAATAAGAAGAGAGTGACAGCGCGGCAAAAACAGCGCAGCTCGGCAGGGTGAGCAATTTACAGCTGGCGTCACGGAACAAACAAGAAGACCAACACGCAGTTGAGGACATTGGGCAACGTACAGTAGTCCAACAGAACTTCGATACATTTGTTTTGTCGTCTTCTGATCCGAATAAGAAGTTTAACAAACGTCTCAAGGGTTGATCCTGATTTGATAAGCGACTGCCAAGAGGACAATAGCGGGATATAGTTACCGTAATCCCTAAGTGTTTTTTTTTTTTTTTTGGTAGGTGAAATATGCACTATACACGTACAATGCAAAAACACCACGGTCGTAACCGGTGCTAGAGGGCATAGGTAGTGTATACTACCGTACCCTCCCAGATCTCTACGGAGGCTTATAGACCAAACGCCTAAACATTTTAGCTTGCCCGCCACAAAAACCTATTGTGCCGTTGTCACACTTCAGTACTTGCACAAGCATCTCGATACATTCCTCATGTTGGTTTTGTCGCTTCAGCTTTGGTGGCTTGGCTCCTCCGAACCAGGCCCTCAGATTTCAGGAATTTTACCCTGATTTTCAGGGTTTTTCTTGGACCCAACACTGATGAAAAAGTTTTTTTTTTCCTGGTCGTACTTTATTTCCAGCGAGAAATTATGTTCAAGGCCTGAAATTTCAGCTTAAATTTGGTAGAGGACCCTGATTCGAATCATACAGTAGCGAGGCCATCCTCGATGCTGACTTGGCCTAGATTCAATGGATACAGCAAAATTTTCGCCCGGATTTACCGCCGTCACCGTCAATCACGGGAAACGGCATCTTTGCTGTACTTCCACTCTCACCTCACTTAATGTGTTGTCACCATCATCTTTCAAATTCGGGTGTGATTGGGCAGTTTCGGCTAATCACACGCCGTACCCAATCACGTTGCCATGACCGGCAAGATTCCACGACTTGTTGGTTTTAACCGAGTCGCTGTGGAATCTGGATGTGCCATCGGGAACCATCCACACCTGCATGGTGGGGTTCGTTTGTGAGTGTCAACCAATCACGTGCGAGGTGGGGTGTCCCTCCCTTGCCCATCTTCTTCTCCCCGTTCTTAGATTGTGTTTGCCGTGCTTCACTCTCTGTTTTCTCGGCTGACTCTCTCCACCTTCTCCTCTCATCCTTACTGCCACCATGGCTCTTCCCATGGACGGCGATGCTGCAGGAGACGAG